AAAAAAAGTTAGCAGTTGTAACAAAAAATCATTTAAGTTTGGTGGTGAGTTACTGCAGAAAAAGTCATCTTTTATATCTCTAAAACACATATCAAGGATTTTTTTTTTTTTGAAACAATAGATAATATTATAAATCAAAACACATATCAAGGATAACTTTGAACAAAATTTAAGATAGATAGCATATTCATAAACAATTAATAAAAAACAAACAAACCAATTTTGTGTCGAACCTGAAACATTGCAATTAATATTTCAAAAAAAAAAATAGAAATTATTAAGAAAAAGTTTACGTTTATTTACGGTCTTATTTTGATTTATTTGATGGTCAACCTAATAATTGTTGTATGTAATTTTTTGTTTTATTTGGAGAAAATTGTGAAATATGGAATATGAAAAGGGGAGAGGGGAGAGAAATTAGAGGGATTCATTAAATTATGTTTCAATCTATAAATTATTCAACTCACTATTAAGGAAGTTATATGATTCAAACTAAAAACATACTTTATTAGTATAGCTGAGAATGTAAAATAACTATCTACATAAAATAGAATGAAAGAGTTAAAGTATGAATAAAATATAACTTACAACACAGTTGGAAATTAGAAAAGTAGTCCAAGCGCGAGGGCAATTCTTTCGACGACAACAATCAGCATCCGCAACCCAGGAGAGAAGCCAGCAAGGGAGCCCAGTTGAGTGAGGCCCAGTTTCCGCATCCCTTTGTGCAACCCGCGTCCGGCCCGAGTCGGCCCGTGCTCCTCACAACGAGTTTACCCAAAAGTTGTGTACAAATAGATTTTTAATAATATAAAATTTTTCGTGACGAACATTTTATGATGAATAATGTTCGTATATTTTAAACTCTCATATATTTAATGCATGTCAAATTATAATATTCTCTAAATTTATATATCCGTGCATCGCACGGGATACGCACTAGTAATTTATTAAAAAGACTAGCATGCGATGGTGTAATAGTCCATCATTCTTGTTGTATGACATGTCATTTAAAGTTCTTATGTCATTCAATTCATTTAATATATGCCACACAAATAAATGAGACATAGTATTATATTTCATATACTCAAATATCATTTTTGAAAACTAATGAATATATAAACTGAATTATAAAATCCACAAATTTGATTACTTATTAAATACTCTAATGGAAGTCTATCACAATCAATTATTGTTTCAC